CACACCCGGGGTGAGACAGATCTGTGCATCATCCCATGTGAATCATGTGAATCCAACTGACCTCAGTAGATTTCTGACAACACCTAAAAAAGACAGCCTTGCTCTTTACATTCTGTCAGCATGCAGAAGCCTTTTTACTGTTCTCGCCGCATATTAAACGTTCGTGTGGTTACATGTCTGTAAAGTTCATCAGTCAAATACATAATTTCAAGTAAAGATTCAACCAGGAGGACCAGGAACTGTTTTAAAAAAGCTTAAAAAATCAAGGTGCCTGTGATCTAGTGATAGGTGGCTTTGTCTGAAATCTACCATCTTTGCCTTACATTATTAGTGTAACCTCCCTCCTTCTGAGTGCCAATTACTCATTCAGACTAAATGTGTCTCAGTCTGCAGGTCTTCCCTAGTAATGGGTAGACATCTTGGCCAAACCTCTGGGTCTGCATATTGAGCTAAGAAAGGGGCTTTCTCTAAAAAATTCACAGAAACTTAACATTTATTTGAACATGATGAAGTTGACTACTATGAAGTGTAATGAACCTAGACACTTCCTGAATCAGGCTGTCCCTCCAAGCTAAGCAACCGGGCAAGGTGGAACCTGTTTAGAGTTGTTATCTTGAGGCCAATGGTGGCTATGAAAGAGTTACCGAGTTCTGTAGTTAAGATGGGAGAAAATGTCCATGGATCAGCAATATCATGGTCTTATCAGAAGAGGCTTGAACTGAAATTATAAATCCTGCATGAGGTCTGCAAAAATACTTGGATGATAGTGGAAACATATAGCCAATAGTTTTGTGGTCACAGAAAAAAATGCAATTCTGTATTCTAAATGCAAAAAGTTTGCATCCTGTATTTACATGGTGCACCATCTACTTCTCATTGGCAGTGACTGGGGAACTTGTTAAGACCAATTGGAATATTGCCTAAGCAAAGTACCAGCACATCTTACAGAAAAACCTGCGGCAGATCCACAGTAAATTTGGGACCAAAATTCACCTTTCAGCAGGACCAAAGCATGCAAACGTTATATTGGAGTAAAGAACAAGATAGTAGAGGCCATTGACTGTCACAGTCAAGATCCTGATGTGAATTATATAGAGAAACTGTGGAAAAGTGTTTATTATACTGTACATAAGCACTCCCCAAGCAACTTGAACATCTTGCCAAGATGAATGGGTAAAAACTGCACCGAGCTGACGTGCAAAGTTGGTTGAATTACCCCAAAAGATGTGACTGTAATTTTTGCCAAAGCTGCTTCCACCAAATATTAATTTTACAGGTCTTATCAACAGTTAAGTTTTTTTTTCTCTTTTTCTCTTTGCTGACATTAACTGTAACTTACAGTATCTTTCCCTCAGAACTCTTCAGTTTAGTCTGTCAGTTTTTGAATATCATATTAAGTTTTTTTCTAAAATTGCATTTACAGAATTATAATAGTTTTGCAACATGAAACACCAAAGGAAATGGTCTGAAAATGTTTTCAAGGAACAGCTTCAGACAGGAGTTGAGGTTTAGAAAGATTTTCTTCTCCAGCATACAGTATTTAAACCCTTTCAATGAGCATTTCATTTCCTTTGTTGACCTAATTGTCTAAAGCACACAACAGTCTTCTTACCCATGTGGATATTATGTGAACAAAAGAATGAATCTTAGATCTGAATTGTTTCGTGATAATCAATTTTTCATTCTTCTTTATAGATGTATGTTTTCCTGAAATACTGGCACAACATTATTGCTCCATTCACCTTTTAATTAAATTCGATCAAAATGAAAAGTGAAAAGTCATTTCAGCAGTCATTTTAATTAAAAGAACAGAATCACATTAACATTAGCTCTGATGTCTGTAATCTTTTTACAGTATAAACCATGTGATAGTAATTTAAAAAGCATAACAGCATCACAACTACAGTATTGTGAGCAAACAGCATTGTACTTCTGTTCTATGTCATGCTCTTGGAAATATCTATTCCAAACTCTCCTAGACAGTGTGGCAGTATCTTTCCCTGCTACACCATAGAATGATTACTTATTCCAAGGGGTGAGACCATATTCCAGGTATACAATACCTGTAGGTGATTTATGCACCAGCACATATTATAGTTACATAGTCCTAAAACACACAGGACAAACACCACAGCATTAAAAATCCATAAACCATTTCCCTTAGAGCTTCTGGCCTGTTTATGTAGATAAGCTGTTGAGCCTCAGGGTGTCACTATCACACAGTTAGGTCTCCTGAAACCTGAGGCTGCTGCAATATGTAACATATCATTTTCCTTTGATTCAGTCACAATCTTCACTTTGGAAACGGCTAAACCTTATTCAGTGCTTTCAGAACTTTTGGCTGTTTTGTATAGTCTCCGTACTGTCAGTCCTGACACCAGCCTGAACAACATAGTGTATTTTGTTTTAATATGTTAGAATGCTTATAAATCAGAGGATGCTATTCAGCCCATTTAGCTGGGTTTTTTTTTGTAGCTTTTAAATTAACCTCGTACTATCTGCATTCTTACAGTGTATAAAATACCATAAAACACAATATATTGTCTGCAGTAGCAGTAGAGTTTAAAAAGGTGTACTAACATGCTTGAGATACCTGAGGTACTGCACTGTTTGTTTTGTACTTCTTCCTGGCAGTATATGGGCCAGCTTAAAGTACTTAAGGAGTTATCTTTGCAATGTTCTTCAATAGATGTATGTAGGACACTTGAGGCATAATTATCTTATATGACCACGTATGTATTTGAAATGATTTATAATAAAACAAATTCAAGGACAATTCAATGTAATCCAAGGCCATTTATTTCAATGTATTACAGTTGTGTTTAATATACTTTTGCTTTACCAGAGTTTCAGATTATCCTGACATTTGGAAGTCTTTTGTCTTATTTGTCTTTTATCATATGTAGCCATCAAAATCTTTGTAAGTCAAGAAAATACATTTCAGCTCTTCTTAAGCTGGCTTTTGTGTCCTTTGTCTCTGGACCATTGTTTGCCCCACCCTCCTCCAGGTATCAGGTTTGTGGTACATTTACATGAATCAAAATGGATCATGAACTCTTCAGGGCTATCTGAGTGAGGTAACTGAGGATTTTATTGTTCTGCCATCTTGGGTCTAGTATCCTAGGTTGTGTCATTCCTGGCCAGTAGGACATGCGTACTTAGTGTCAGATTCCAGTGCCAGGATCCAGGCACTTGGAATATAGAAAGATGAGAAAGTGTGTAACAGTAACTAGACAGCAGATTGTGGTTTAATGTGAATTAAGTGACTTTAATAACAGACATTCATAAGGAGATTTCTGTCCCTGAAGTGTGATGGGAACCCATGTTAAGTCTTCTAATCCTTCTATTCCGTGGCAAGAACTGAACCACAAGGTGTATTACACCTCAGAGAGAAACAGCACATGCCTGTGCCTCACCCCTCTTGCAGCATCTTGGCTCCCCAATGGCTGGATAAACTCCATGGGAGCCCACCCACTCCCTTGCTCTCTGGCCCCTGTGGGTTCAGCGTGAGCACTGCACGCCCGCAGTCCCACGGCTTGTGTGCTGACAGCAGGTTGCAGTGGCCATGCCCCCCTGCTTTAATGCAGCCACAGCCACACAGAACAGGCTATTCAGTTTTATGCATTTTCATTGTTTCGTATCTGGTTTGAATTCCTTTAATATGTTTGCATATTATGCTAAAAGTCCCTCAGTGATAACACAGAACTCTCAATGTCTGTGATTTAGTATGTTTGTCATAATATCATCTAAGAGCCTATACTGTATGAATGATACTGGTTGTTGCATCAGACTTTTTCAAAATGTTTGTACTGTATGCTTTGCTCCATCTCTGTTATGATGCCGCTTTCTATTACTAAGTGGCATTGCATTTGTGCTTGAAGGAACTCTGTGATATGCTTTTCAATTGTTTAATGATTTTAATAAAGACAGTTAATGCTTATTATTTAGACTGTATTTATTTTTGTCCTCATCATATTTGAACATAATTTGGATGCCAGTTGTGATTTTTGTAGAACTTTCCTCGGGTGGATAGAGGTCAGATATAATAACCATAAACGACTGATAATGACCAGAAAAGAGATAATATTTCTGGTACAGTAGATAAAACGTTTTGCTAAGATTACTGTTCAACACATACTGTAAAAGATGTTGGAGTCTTTTATGTTACCATTTTGGAGCATTTTGTGCAAATCTGTCTGGGAAATCATTTCATATACTTGTAAAATATTGTTATTTAAGAGCAACAAAGAAAATATACAATACAATATACAATATTTAGCTTGTCTGCGAAGATGCATAAAGCTCATTAGGCTAGAAGACCACCATTCTGAAAATGCTGAGCCTCAAGGTCATGAAAGGTAGTTTAAATGCAGGGCTCAGATTGGCGCTGCCAGTTTATCTTAACAAAAGCCCCTCTGGAGACTTCCTGTTTAGACATTCTTACACTCATCAGTCTTCAACCTGCTGTCTCTGAAAGTGCTATGACACTTTACTTCACTGCAGCTGGGCGGGATCTTTTTCATTAGAAGCAGTTTAAAAACAAAACTGGAATAAATTAACAAGCAAAGCCCAAAAGTGAAGGTTTTCAAAAACAAAACATAATCTGCAATAATAATTGGCAGTTTAAAGTTATCCTTTTGGTGTATCCTTTCATCTTTCACAAGGAATTGTGAAACTCATTAGTGAGTTTGAAGACCATGCAATTCGGAATGTGTATGTGAAAAAAACAAAATGTGTATTTGAAAAAGTGAATTGTAAATACTGGATTTTAATATTTCTAAATAGATACATCTTAAAATGGGGCAAAAACCTTAAAGTTATGTTTAATCAATGATAAGAGTTTCAGTGCTTTATTACTCGCACTCCTATTACTTGCATGCTTTTTTGTATTTGTTGTGTTTGGTAATATTTTATTTACAACCTTTTTACAGAAACAATTGTTTAAAAAGACAAACATGTGCTCATTGTTCAATAATTGTTAATTAATCTGTTTTTAACAGGTCAACCCAGATTAAGACATACTCCTGGGACAATGCGCAGGTAATCCTGGCAGGCAATAAGTGTGACATGGAAGAAGAGCGTGTAGTGTCAACAGAGAGTGGGAGACACTTAGCTGAACAACTAGGTAGGCCTAGTTTAATTTTTTCAGAAAATACAGAATGTTTTTTGTAGTTCACTCTTAAAAAGAATATAAATGTAAGTGGCTGTGAGTACAATAAATAAGTAAGCAATTCTTTTTCCTGAACATGTCAATCTCATTGTGGAACTACTATCACAATAATGCCTTTCCCTGGAAAAAATAATGTGTATAATCTATCCTCTGTAACAGACAATCACAATATTAACATAAATCATATCCTGAAGGGAGAGTTAAGAAAACAGGATTCAAATGAACCTTTGAAAAATTAAATTTAAAATATGATTTTATTATAGGCTATACTGAGGCCAACAATGCAAATGAAACATACAGTAAATCATTAGTAGTTGTCTAAATTGACTGTAATTTAAACACTAAAGAATACTCTTCTAACCCGTTTATTTTTATGAAAGTACTGTAACTGGTACCTCTGAAATAACATCTAAAATTAAAGTCAGATTATTTTTTTAACTTTTAAATGTAGGAACAGTGTAATACACCCTCATTTGATTACTGGGAATCTTTATTTGCTAGCCTTATTTACAAAATGTGTTTGAGTTATGAATTAGCTTGAATCTAAATTATTTCTTTTATTTTTGAGAGCTATTTCCTTAAGTGGTGTATTAATTAATGTACGTATTGGTCTCATGGTTGGTGAGTCTGCCGTCGTTTTTTTTTACCACATGCATTCATCAGTGAATTAACAGTCATGCAAGTTTGCTGCTTATATAATATTCTTCACTTTCACCAACTCCAGTTGCTAATGAAACACATTTAATTGGCTAACACCTACAGTTTTCTGACACATGGGTGTTTGAACAAAACTGGAAATACCAGGCAGATAATTTTATCCTGAAACAATTTAAACCCTTCACAGATTACTTTCTTTAAAGACTTGCTTGAGTTTAGGAGTCATGTCTATAAAATCTTTGCTGCCATAATAAGCTGACATTTTTCCTGATGAAAACAAATTATATTAAACCACTGGCCATCTTAGAGATACTGAGATGTCTAGAACATTGAAGGTTTGTATGTACCTCTTGGCAAAATTCCCTAAAGGTAATGTGAAAGAGAGTGAAAACAGATTCATCACAAAATCCCTCTTGCAGATCATAAAAACATCCACTTACCTGTAGCTCCATGTGTCCGTCAGTTCACATTAGTAGTACATGCTGAAAATGTTTCACACACCCAATCCAGTCAACACAAGAATATTAATCTCCAGTGTTCTGCACATCTTTGTCTCACTATTCTCCACTCACATTCTCCTGTAACAAAAAAACTGCAGAAATACTCTGTTCTCAAAGCGTTCTTAATCTTTTTTTCTTGATCAAAATTAGTCCTTACATAATCAAATCATTCCATACATAATGTATTCCTAAAGCGCTTCTGTTTAAATTAAACTAAGACTTTTGCATGAAAATTGCTAAGAGCACTTGTTATTTTGTTTGCCCTGAAGGATTTGAGTTCTTTGAAACGAGTGCAAAGGACAACATAAACGTCAAACAGACATTTGAGCGGCTTGTGGACATCATCTGTGACAAGATGTCTGACAGCTCAGAACCTGACCCTGCAGTCACTGCTGGAACCCAGAATACAAGACTAATGGACAATCCGCCACCTCTACAGCAACCCAACTGCGGCTGTTAATAACTGCTGGTAATGCTGAAACAGGTCTAACATGTGCTGTTGCCAAGATATGAAAATCCTTAGGCATAGTCTTTTAAACATTAATTTAAATATGACCATATCTTATTTAAAAATATTGACGTCTGCTGCAATGTGCACAGCACATTCTTCTGGAAATCTCTAGTTTTAATGCACTTAGCAAAACACAGAAAAACAAGCTTATAGTATGTACATAGCCTAGCAAAAAATTTTAATGTAAAACATAACAGTCTTGTTTGAGTATTTATTAAGCCTTTTGCTTTTGAGTTTCCAGCATTAAAAAATCATCAGTAATGTAGGCAACTGATATAAACTATGTGTGTTTGTTCTTTGTCTTAAACACACAGGCAATGCTTCTTTCCACCAATACACTTTATGAAACAATACTTGCTGTATTCAGCTAGTGTTGAAAACCCCTCAGTCCCTGACAGCAGTTGTGTTACCTAATGCACTCTTCTGTGCTAGAGTGGTGTTTCAGCAGTGATATCAGTGGCATTGCTGGCTTCAAAGTGACCAGTTGGGCATTCAAGTCTTTTTCTGCATCTATAGCAATGGGTTAGTCCAGAGTTAATAGCAAGGCAAGACTGGCAGTGAATCAGCACCTCTTGATTAGTGAGGCATCTGGTGACATTGTTGGTGAACAATCCAAAATATGTGATTTAGCTTAGAGGTCCAAAGGCATTAACTGGCCAAGGTAAGATATAGATATTCATACTTTGGAAATGGTGAATAATGATACATGTACAATAAGACCGGGCATTCTTTATCCATCCATTTTCCACCCCTTTAATATAGGGTCACAGGGGAGCCAGAGACTTTTCCAGCAAGCAATTGATGCAAGGCAGGATTCACAGTTCATTGCAGGGCGCGCGCACATAGACACAAACATGCACGCACTCACACTAGGGCCTCAGCACTGCATCATGATATCATGTCATGCAAGATTAATTCCCCTGGAAGAGAATGTCCAGGGCTGGCATGGTGTCGCTTTGGTTAGCATTGCTGCATTGCAGCCCTAGGGCCCAAGGCACAAAGATAAAGTACAGTATATTATGTAATGAAAACAGTTTTCAGCTAGTGTTTCTTAAGTACAAATGCTGTTTTAAAGATCCTTAACACCTAATGGTATTCTAAATATGCATGAAATGCTAAATACTGTACAGTACATACACCAGTAACCGTACCTACAATAATATCATTGGTTCTAATGGGAGAAACTCACCTGTTGTTGCATACAGTAGGTGATATTTATGTTCTTACAGTCCCTAACCTCCGTATTTTACATAATTCTTATGGAGAAAAATTCCCTGTTATAAGTGGTTTCACTATGCATTGCACTTTTGTGGTTCCTAACCCAATATGTAATGGGGACCCTCTTTATATCCTTGGGTTTCCCCATATCTCTAGCTTTTTGTTTTTTTATTGGATGTTGCATCATTACTACAACCAAAGGGAAAAAAAATACTTTCACCTTGTCACTGCAACACCACACTGGAAAAGGGCGAGAACTATCCTGATCATGTTTTGACAGCCATATGTTTCATGACAAGAACTATTACTTACTGTAAACATTAAGTGTACTGTATGTAGACCAACACCAGGTTTGAATCTCCATCAATGATACACCTTATCTAAAATGCCCCATCTGATCAACCTGACTGACTTTCATACGCTTTATGCAAAGTAATCAAAGTAATTGATGAACAGGTGCAGGGAGTTTGTACGTTCTTGACACACTGGGGAAATTACATCTTGGTAATACTATAACAGTGCTTCAGTTTGGATGGATACTAATAAAGGTGATATAGAGACAAAATGTATTAACTTGCCTGGCTGGGGGAAAAGCACGGGACCCATAAGGAAGAGGCTGCCAGACCCCACCCATATTCACCAGGAATGAGCCAGGGAGGTGCTGCAAGAGTGTAGATGGCATGGCAGAAGGGGTGCAAGAGAGATGGGAAGCTCAAGAGGTGAGATATGGAGGGAGGAAGTATCAGAGACTACAGTGGGACCTGACTTTCTTCCCAATTTTCTGCAAACTTGATTTAGTGAGTCACTCTTTTCAACCCACAGTTTCACTGATGTTACCTTTGTCTTTCCACACTTAGATTGGTTCATGTTTCATTTTAAATTTTGATTTTGAAGTCAGCTTTTCCCTGCTATTTGTAAGTGGCATGCTTGTATATGCATTGTTAAAATATGCAAATGCAAGCACAAAACACCAGATTGTTTTTTTTTTCAAATGTACACGTTCTTAGATGTTTTGCATTTAGTGTGCAAATGAATAATTGACTCTGTCCTTACGGTGACCTTATTTTTACAGTGTGTTTCAAGCAGTGACTTTTACTACTGTATATTCTATTAAAAATCCCATTTTGTCTTAAAGAAAAATTAAAGCATGTTAGAAAAGAGACAAAAATTAACCCTAAAAGAAGATTATCAAAAAATAAAATCCCAATATAGATAAGTTAATATTTTGTTCCTGTATTCTAAATGATTTGATGCATCAGACCAAGAGAAATAATTTTGTAGATCTAAATGCTGAATGCTTTTGGGACAACACCATCTTTCCATACAACATTTTCTTGCTTAAACTGAAAAATAATACATTTCCACAAAACAGTGATAATCAGTTTTCTTTGTTCAAAATGTGTAATGTATTATAGTTTATTTTATTATTATTTAATGTTTTTGTAACAGATACTGTTTTTGTGTGGACTGACTAGAATGAACTGGTGTGTCCTGTGCTCAATGTGGAGTTTATCTGTGTGTTTGTGCCATTGTAATTCATTGAACTCTATAATATAAACTACCTACCTGAAAAAAATGTGGCCTTGAGCATTTTTCACATTATGTCCATGTTCTAACATTTATTAACCCAAATTAATTTGTTTTGAATTAACCTCTTTTGGCAAAGAGTCTGCATTTCATGTAGCTGGCTTACTGAATGAAGTGCAATACTGTAACTGTATTTCAAGTTTATAAAACAGTTCTTTAATTGGACAAAATACATATCGGTATTTCAAATGTTCAGACTAATAAAGGATTTGGCTATGATCAAGTAAATCAGTTCTCCTTCACTTTAATATTAGTTCTACATACACAATTTAACCCTATCCCTCTTCTCCATTAAATCATTAATTGTTCATCCATTGCCAGCTTACAGGTTCACAGTTTTTACTTTAAGTTTGAATGGTTTTCTTTAAGAAACAAAACATGATTTAAAGTGCCAAAATGTTACCATTACCAGTTAAATTTGCAACATTATACCTTGATAAATAATTTGTATGAAACAAATTAGAGAGAATGGCATGAAGAGTAAAAGAACTAGTAGAGTAAATCTTAAATGTTGCATGAATTAGAAAATTATATATATTTAGATTTGTTGAATTTGTGCATCCTCAGATTTTGAGGTGCAGTGGGCCAATAAGTGCAATATTTAAAGAACTACTTCCTGTATATAGTCATATGTAACCATGTATGTCAGCTGTAGCTGTGTGACTGATACAATTCAGTTTGCAAATGATGCCATTTCTGACTAGTTGAAAACAAAGTTAACATCTTTGTAGTCTTGTCACCCATGTCTGTCTCTGTATATAATGTATTAAGTAAATATGTATTGGATTTATTTATATAGTATTTTTTTATAGTTTTAGTAATATTGAATATAGAAGTAAATTGCCTTTTTACTGTAGGTCAAGACTTCACACTTGAAAGCTTGGTGTATGGAGAAAAGAAACTGCATCTTCATTATATGTTTTCAGATCAATTAATTTATGTATAGGCTAATATCTGTAAAATACATATGGATATAAGAGTAAATTGCTGTTTTGCAGTCCTAAGTGATGAAACTCGTAGACTAGTTTTTGTGTTGAATTGTAGAGTTTTGTGAGTGTTGACAGGTGTGAATGTTGGGTACTGTTTACATTTTCCAGTAGAAGCCAGCATTATAACAAGCCACACCACTTATGATCACCATTAAATAGTCAGTTTCACTATAATTTTGGATTCATGAATCACGTACATTTTGAAATACTCAATAGGAATGACAGACATTTAAAAAAATCTCTTTATCCAGTATGGGTCTAAGGAGCCATCCGATTAAGTTAATGAAACAATGATGACCTCAATATAATTTTAAAGCAAACTTTTGGTTAAAACAAATCCTTCAAGTTTAATAGAAATGTATTCCCTACCTTTCAAAACATATGACGAAATATAGTCACAAAGTAGTGAAACAACCTGTTTGCTTTTATCCAAGAAGCACAGGAGTGCTGATTTTCATCTCTCTTTTGCTGTCTCCACCAGCAAGGTATTGAAAATGTCAGAGATTTTCATCAGTGATTAAACTTCCACATTATCTTGCTCTATCTTGCTCTATCTAATCTATGAGATTAACATTTTAGTAAGGATCTACAGTTTTTGGACAATGTTCATCTTTACCACAATTTGGCTCAAATACATTTTTTGAATAGCTAGAGAGTTCTCTCTCATTTGTTGTAATTTGGTTAAAGACCCTTTCTGGAGAGTGAGGGTTTTAAGTATACATACTAAGGAAATTATCCGTATGTCAACCCTGTAATATCATGGTGTTATCTGAGGTGTCTGAAGTAGCCAGGTATATCCATTTTATTAGCTTTTTATTAGGAGTGTGGAGTGCCAATGCAGGATGCAATTTAGCTCAATACATATCTGCTCATCCTGGCTGTACTGTATATTAACCCCTAAAACTTAACTTTGTTTCTGTCCGGAAATTAATTATGTAATTATCTCTAGCTTAAGATTAATTTTCATGCCATTCTTCCTGAGCAGGGGAAATATACCTTACTCAAAACATATTCTGCTAGAGATCTTAATCTTTAAAACCCCAAAGACCATGCTTTATTCTGTCGAAATAGCATTTGATTAAAATAATATAATATGTTGGCTTGTAATAGAAAATGCAATAGCATATGCAAGAGAAAGCAAAGTAAAATCACCTGGGAAAATGTTACATTTAGTCTCCACAGAGCAGCTCAGACAACAGCTCTGTGACTTGGCAACATCTCCTAATTTCGTTTGCTTCCTTAAGGGTGGGATGATCTGTCTGGTTAATGTGATAGTAAGTAAAACATCTGTTTGCGGTATCATCCATGTTGTTTCACAGCTGTGAGGCATAGTTTTAAATTGGCAAAACATAAGAAAACTGCACGGGAAACACCATATTTTCATCTTGTTTTTTCTCTGTTTACTCCACATCATACCATAATGTTCTTGTCTGCGTTACAGTCTTGAGTTTACAGCAATGTGAACTGCATCGTCTGCCCATCATATCAAATCCAAGCAAGAAGACAACAATAAGTTATTTGTGTCCTCTGGTTTTTAAAGGAGTTTACATTGCTGCATTCAAGATCATTACTGTGATCATTGGTGAAGTTTCTTAAACCTGTAACATTCTGAAAATTCTGTACATATTAATATAGAGGGAAAAAGGCAAGCTGATTACATTATTCATATGCATGTATTACTCGAAATATAGTTTGTAAGATGCCCTCCCCACATGGGTGATCACAAAACAAGAATAAAATGTAC